GCCCGGGGGCTCCCGCCGCTCCGGGGACAGAGAAAGCTCTCGGTTAAAGTGGGAGAGAAGGAAGAACAAGAGGGAGGAAAGGCGAAAAAAAGGGGAAGAAAAGAAGGGGGGGAAAAAAAGGGGAAACGGAGGAGGAAATGAAGAGGGGAAAGAAGGAGGAGAAAAAGGACAGAGAAAAAAGAGAGGGAGAAAAAACGGAGGAAGAAAGAAGGAAGGGGGGGAAAAGAAGGAAGGGGAAAAGGAAGGTGAATAGGGGAAGAAGAAAAGAGAAGAAAGGGGGAAAGGAGGAAAAAGGGGGGGGGAAAGGAAGGGGAGAAAGGAAGGGAGGGAAAAGGAAGGGGGAAACGGGGAAAAAGGAAGGGGGGGGAAAAAAAGAGGGCAGAGAGAAAAAGAGGGGCAGGAAAAGGACAGTGAGGAAAGATGGAAAAAAAGAAGGAAAACAGGGAAAGGGAGTTTTAAATGTCCTGTAAAGGTTTAAGAAAAAGCTTGCTCAGCCCAAAGGCAGCTGTTAGGCTCAAAAAACCCAGCAGCAGCTGCCAGCATTACTGCACCCCACACACTGTTCATCACCATTTCACTAGTGACCGTAAGTCACTTCACCTTTTTGGTGCGGGTTTACCCACCATCAGTTTGCTGGCCTGTTTAAAAGTTGGCAGGATGAAGCTCATCACCTCAAATGGTTGCTCTGAATGTAGGGACTAACCAGCCACGGGATGCTTAAGCCTCTATCAAAGCCGCATCGTGGTGGTCACAGCATGTGAAATAGAGAACATTTTGTGTGCTGAGTGAAATGTTTATTTCACCTTATACACACCACGTTTTTGAAAATACATACATGTTACAAAACAGATACAGTTCTTTGAAAAAAGCTGATAGGAAGTACAGTGGTTCTCCAAGATGCTGCTACCTTGCCATGCTTTTCCACACAAAGATCTTGCTGCTACCCAGTACCAGCAATACTTGCTCATGTAAGCACTCTTCTCTGAAATCATATCAAATTTACATGGGCTTTACTAGGTATAGTATTGTAACTCTCAGCAGTCTCATTCCTGCTTTTTTTTTTTCCCTTATGTATATGATTGGTTTATCAACTTTATTTCAAGATTTAATAGGACCTGAAAATTTATGCCCAGAAAACAGACATAATTTAGAACCACAATGAGATGTTAGGCTAGAAATGCTCAGTAGCCTCAGATAATGTGTCACTGTAACACTGACAGTTTTGTAAAGACACAGGGTTTTTTTCTATCCCTTATTATGGAGATGTGACCAGTGTCACTGCCCAGGAAATTTCTGCTGCAGTCCATGAATTTATGTCTGCATCTGGTTATTTTCATAAGGGCTTTTATGTTGAGAAAAGTCAGCTCCAAGGTGAGCCTGCATAACAGCTCCTATCCAGCAAGCAGGTTGGAAAACACCTGCTGACCTTCCCTTCTCTGCTCACTCAGGATCAGACCACAGCTTTACAGAGACAAGACACCACTGCTGCCAACAGACACAGTGCTGTGCTCCCCAGAGACTGCCCCTCCCCTACTGCTGTAGTGTCAAATCAGGAAATAAATCTTGATTAGAACTAACCTAGGCAAAAAGGGAAAACAGATCTGTGTTTTGACTGCTTATTTGTATAACCTCAATACTTGGGTTGGGAGGGGAAAGAGAGAGCAAAACAAGGCATGAGGGCAAGAGCAAAGCTGTTAGCCTGTGAAACTGCAGCCACAGGTTTAGATCCTCTTGCATGCACTTGCCTGGTTCTTTTGCAGATAAAACTGACCCAATCAACACCATTTTACTCATGCTTACCCTTATTCCCTTTGTTTTTATCTCAGCAACTTAATCTTCCCCCTTTCACTCTTTCAAGCTGACTGTTTTGGGGGATGAAACTGTGAAGGTATCTCACTTCATCTTTGAAGCATTCCTAAGATTACTTCATGAAAACAAGCATAGCTTATTCTAGACACCCTTTTTAACAAGTTTTGAATTTGAATTGACCACTAATTCACTTTGTATTTAAGTTTATAGCTACAGTACATGCAGCAGAGATAAAGGGCAATCTTGCAATTCCTGTTCAATTTTACTAATGCACACAGAACCATTTAGCATAATACTTCAAACATGCTTTTGAATAGACATTTTAAACAGAAAACTGAGAATACATTCCAAAAGAATTAGTGAAAACTAAGCTAGCAAAAGAGGCATAGAGAACAAACTCTTCTGCAAAAAATGAGGACAGGTTGTCTTTTGCAGAATCAGAAATGTCTTGCTTCAAAAATAAAGATTTTAAAACTTTTTGCTATTATTGACTTCGGCAGGAGTAGCAAGTTCAAGAGCTAGCTAACCTAGCACTGTTTTCAGCAGAAACACTTTGAGGAACTTGCTTTCACAGATGTGATAAAACAGCCAAATTAGGCTTCTTCTGTTTCCCACCTGCCCTTTTGTCAGTAGAATTCCTGAACAGTAACAGAATCCCTTTTACCAGCAAATCATGGAAACTCTGACCTGGGCTGAATTACAAAGGAAACCATAGTATACTGTTGTGCATTATTTATTCTAAGTACTCTGAAGTCTGATCAGAAGAAATAAAGAATACTTTAGATTTAGAACTCAAAACAAAATCAGTATCTATTACATAAACTTCTATTTACATAAGGCATCTAAACTGCCCCTTTTAACAAAAGGGTCATTTTCCCTTTTACCAATACTTTGGTGAAAGAAATATCACATTTAGTAGACTAATATTCACTGGTATACTCGTTCTGAACAAGAACCTACAATCCAACATAAAAGATAAGAAAACAAAAGCAAGAGATCTAAACATAGTATTTCATGGACCACACTGTAAAGCAAAGCATTAAGGCATGTTTACATCACAGCGATCATTCATACATCATCCCTCAAAGAACAAAACTAGTTTGCAACTGGCATAAGAATAGCAAGAGAACTCTGGTATAATCCCCATATTGTCTACATCAAAAACAATTTGGCACCTTAGAAACTAGATTTTAAAGTAGGGGGAAGAGGAAAACAGAAAATAGACATTGCTTCAGAAGCCTTTATAAGCATTTCCAGTGTCCGCTTGCAGTTTAAGAGGAAAAACACAGGACTTTCAAAGACTAATCTAGAAACATTTTCAGAAAGACTAAATTTATAGTTCCACTGATAATATGAAATATGTAAAGAAGATACATCATTTGGAATAATGAATGTCACACTGATATCCCCAAGTAAATGGCATATATACATTGAGCTGAGCCTGTTTAATAGGTCTGATTTATAAAAATGGTAAACCTGTATTTTTAGGCCTGATTCAATAATTCCTGAGTTTTAGGTCACTGCTGATTCACAGCAAACAAAACTCTGAATGATGTAGTGAAAAGTTTTGCAAATAACTTTCAACATGAGCAAAGATCTTGTTCAGCAACTTTCAATCATCAATAAAAGTCAGTCTCCCAGGCCCTTCATTCTTCATCCACCGCCGATATCTCTTCCATCGGGGATCCATGGCCATCTTCTTCTTTAACTCCTCCTCTTGTTCTCGTTTATAGACCTGACAGACAGACAGAAGTTTTTATAAGGCTGAGGAAACAGCTTAAGTGAATCTCAAGGGTGCTGTAAGCATTCATAGTTCAACCAGTCACCACCTTGTTCTTAGAGATGACTGAATTGCAACACAGAAGCAGGCCTGGACCAACATAAAGTGCATGAGTACCTTCAGCCAAGGAGCCTACTGGCTGTAGTTGAGACGCTTTGCATATTTGCTGAGAGCAGAACTAGCTCCCCATAAGATGGTGCTGCAAGCTCACAAACTTTTTGCTATAGAACTAGATGCCCATGAATTCAACAATAAAATTTACTGTAAAGAACTCCTAATGCTCAGAAAGATAAATTTTGTGTCCCTTCTGAGCACACACACTGTTTAATGCAGTAGTTCAGATCTTCACTTTAGTTGTTTTCCCACTTCAAAGTCATTGTCTAGATAGAATACCACTAGTGAAACTTTTATTCCTAATTAAAATTTCTCAACTAAGTTGATAACATCTCTACATTAAGTACTGGAAGCGATAAGTAATTACATTCTCTCAAGAAATGGTGTCACTGATGAAATCTACAATTATGAGCAAAGTCAAGTATCTAAAAAAAGGCAAGAGCATCTGCATTTTTATTCTGGAAGGCAGTTTACGCAGATACAACCAGTGTACATCTCAATACCATAAAGCTTTGTGTCATCTTAATGTCATCTGAATTCTTTCTGGAAGGGAATTAAATGTAAGATTCTGCTATGCATGAACAAGATTAAAGGTATTATAGAGTGCTTCATAAATATACCAGCTCAATACTCAGTGATCACACAGGTTTTAAGAATAATTAGGAAAGTAACAGAGGGGAAAAAACCCCAGTACCATTGTAGAGCTCCATGATGTACCCATCTATTGAATTCTTGGTCTTACCTATCCTACAAGAACAACATGCAGATAGGCATCTCCAATGATTAAACAGAGAAGCTTTCAAAGAGAAACACTTAAGCATATTTTCCAGTCTAGAAAAGTCAGGACTAAGTTTCAAGCAAGGATGTGGTAGTGGTACACAGGAGCACTGGTAGCACAAGCAAGACAAAAAAAAGCATGATTGTTCTCCATTTCCAATAATACAACAACCAGCAGCTGTCTGGATAGTTTAAAAACCACCCATCTTCTACATGTATCGATGAACTCGTGACCAGATGGCAAGTTTTAATGCATTCACAGAGTGATTAGGTAAATTTATTAAAGAAAAATTCATTAAAGCAATTACCTACAAAGACAACATTTCTTTTCAGGAAGTCCAAAAGCTGCAAATTATACTGATAAATATTGCTATATAGGTGCAACTTTCACGTATTCTTCACTAAAAATCAACTGCTGGCTACCACAAATGAATTTGGGCTGAACAGACTTCTCTTCTGGCAAATACATCTGATATTCAGGGACCAAAACATCACTAGTTAGAAAGAGAATGGATCCCAAAATATGTAATTTTTTCTCTACAACAGCATATCCATCCTTTCCTACTTTTTCCATATAACACCTACTTTGACTAGTAACATGTTTTCTAGCAAACCCATCACAATTCAACGTGTATATGTACCTGTTGGCTACTCCTTTCCTTACACTAGCATCAATTTTACTACTTCCAAGTTTCCAGACTAATCCATTGCTGCCTACTTTTAAAGAAGCATTCTCTTATTTTTGGTGCCCTGACAGCAGCAAAGGCAGTTCTGTCATCATCCCATTTCTCCTCCCAGCATAGGCAGAGCAGCAGCAACATCTCTTCCCCTTAAGCAGGCCAAGCTCATATTCTGCTTCTCATCTAGAAACCTCCCACCCAGATGGCCTACAGATGAGCTTCTGTGGAACAATAAGTGTGTTTCATCAATCTGCCACACACACACCCCCCCCCCACACCCCT